CCTAGTTAAAATGAGGAGGGGGGAGTTGGAAGTGAGAAAATAGAAGGTCCAAGAGACTTGTCAAAACAACAACTTTTACAGTCAAAAGTCTCACCACAAAGTTCAATCTCTTGATCTTCTTTTCTACAAATTAGGATTAAAATGATTTTTATCGCCAAATTTGGACTTCTCCTTAGCTTGCTCCTGCCAATCAAGATAATTGTTTGTCGTGACAATAATAAGTGTCTAAACTCTCGACTATAAACTCTGTATATCAACAAATGGAAATCTATCAAACAGTTCACATTTATATTACTTTTTCTTCACTGCATGCATTATAATGTAATTTAATGGGTATAAAATCACAACCCACATGATGTTTACATCTTATCCATCATTAAATAGGTTTATCTATGCTTCTGAGATCAGCAAGCTGATAAGTGGCTGCAGACTAGCAAAGATCATCTCAGTGATTGGTTTTTTTATGCTCCCCTGCAAACTAATAGGTGTAAAACTTTAGGGGAGGAAGCCTGTGGCAAGAAACTTCATGTAAATCCGATTTTGATACCATCTGGACCTGGGGATTTGTCCCTGTTGCATTGACAGATGGCCTTCCAAACTTCTTCTATGAATGGCCTAAAGGTATTATGAAATATCTTAAGAATCAATTGATATAAATCTATGATTGTTTCTTTTATGTTCTCATTCCTGTTTATATTAGGTGCGATACCTTTGTCTGAATAGGGGCGGAGCTACATTAACCCTCCCCCCCCCCCCCCCCCCCCCCCCCCCCGCGCCAGAACTTCGAAAGTTACATGTAAATGGTTTAGAATAATACGTATAAACTAAGAGTTTAAACATATAAAACGGTGGTTCATAACTAAAACATAAAATCTCGATTGGTACTGTGGAAAAGTGGTTGTTCTAATTACGTTGATATAGAGATTTTAGGTTGATGATATGCAAATTGTACACTTTATTTATACCCTCATTTAATGACATATTTAGCATAGTTTCCATATCTATATTGCCACAATAGTTTGGAACTGATTGAAATTGGCTTAAGATTGTTGTTGAACAATTCAAATTAGAAGATGCATAATTTGGATAAATTGCTTGGTTCCTAATGTGTTTAGGTCTTTTTAACTCCACTATTAAGTGATAATTAAATACGTAAAATGGAACATTAGAAAGATTCTGATGATAATTGTTCTTGGTAGAAAGATTCAAAATTTTATTAAGTGTTAGACCATCTCCATCCCTTTACTAGGTTAGCAATTTCATACATGGACCCACAGCCACATAAGCAACTTTAGCAATTATTCAATTCAATAATTTCAAAATCACCTTCATCCTTGCAATAGGTTGGCAATTTGAATTGATGGGACCTACTACATACTCATATCATTTATACATACTCATATCATTTATGTTTTTCTTAACAATACTTTTGTATAATAAATAATAGACTTTTGAAAATTCAATAAACACAAATACATAGCATGCACAGTTTATTGATACAGTAGGTAGTGGTTAACCCACTACCCACTACGGGTTGGTGTGGGTTGGATGTGGATACCCACAAAAAGTTTCATTATTTCGCTCTTCGGGCTCTTATATGATAAACCTATCGGTCGAGTGACGACAAAAAACACACATTGAGTTAAAACAAAGTCAAAGAAGCCCAAGACATGGAACAAGGGAGGATTTTGTATTCGAAACTTCCTAAGTAGTCAACCTCCCTCTCGGTGCACTTCACTCGCTTACAGATTACTTCACTTTCTTTAGATAATGCAAATTGATAACGAGTATGGGTTGGAGGTGATCCAATCTAAATATACATAGCATTGTTATTAGAGACATGATTCTTTTGCTTTTTTATTCGAATCTTTTATGGATAAGTGAAATTCTCTCACGAGTTGTGGAATTAACGTCTTCTTACACAGAAACAAAAACCTACATAAAAGGTTTTTTAAATAAAGTGTTAAATAAACTATAAACCACATTTATTGACTTGATTTTGTTATAAAATCAACAGATACCACGCAGACAATGCTTATTTAATAAAAGTATCTCATACGAACACTGTGTGTTGGCTTGGTTTTATTTTATAAAATAAGCACATATTTGATTTTGGAGGCTAATTTAATATGTAGCATTCTAATTTTCACTTACTTTAATATTACAAAGTATTATTAATAAAAATAAATATATTTAGTGCGGTTATTGTGGTTTTGTGGGTTAACCGTTGTGGATATTGGTTAATCACTAACCACAAAACCAATATTTTGCTACCCACACCCAACCCACTATCCACAATTTGTGGGTATGGTTACCCACAAAGTGTGTGGTTTGGTGCGGTTTGTAGATTACCCGCAAACCAAACTTTCACCCCTACTTGCAATTGCTTAAAGCTTTTGCCACATAGAATCTCACCCAATAAGTAATTGCAATAAGCATTGGGATGGAGATGCTCTTAGCTTCTCTTTTGTTACATTGGTTGTTTACATAGTGTTCTCTTTTCATTTACCTTTTTTCATTTAGTTTTCTCCAAGAAGTCATGTGATTATTATTATTTTCTTATAATTTACTATTTTTCATCAGTTTGGTTTACTAATGAAGCATTTAGTATTTTTCATTTAGTTCTCGATTGATAGGGTAGATAATTTATTTGATGATATATATTAATCCACCTCCGATATTGCAGCACGACGAAATTGAAATGGTTTTAGGTACTGTTTTATTTCATTCACTTTTGTTTGGGATTCATTATCACATTGATCATGCATTGTTCTTTTAATTTTGGCGTTGTTTCTAATTATAGTTGTTCAACATATAACTCAATAAGCAGTTGAATATAGTTTATTTAAAGAATTTTTTAGATGAACATTTCTTAAGTAATTTTAGTTTATGAATCTCGATTCATGCATCATTGTTTGTTACTAACATCTCTAAAGATTGTTTCATTCAGGGATAACATCTCTACTAGCAAAGATGAAAGAAAAACATTTGCTTGCAAAGTTAGCAAGAAAGAGGACCACTACATTAGATGACGAGCACATCTTAGTACAATATTTATTAGTAGATTCAACTTTGACTATTGATCATATCTCATGTTAGAAATTAGCGATGAACTGATGATCATAATGTAATTGTGGATTAGTTAAAAAAAGATGGTGCTTTACTAGCTAATAGATGTGACAATCCATAGTTTTCATTAATTATGTTTCAAACAAGAAAACGTAAAAGTTTCAACACCTGCAAGATTTGTCTAACTCCGCAATCAACTCAAAGCTATATGTTAAGTATAAGGTGAATTTTTTATGATGACAAATCCAAACTCATGTATAATAACAATTTTGTAGTTACATTGAAATGCATAGAAAAAAACCCAAAAATTTCCCAAAAATGTTATTCCTGCAGCTTAGCTATGAAGTTTAATATGCAAAGGAAATATTTGGATGACTTGAAAAAAACATACTATTACTTGTAGTGAAAAATTACTTTTCTAAAACAGATTCATGATTTTGGAAAAAAAATCAATTCATTTTAAAAAAAATTGGAGCATTTGGATCATGGATTTTGGTGTGACATTTAATATCTAAATTCAATTTGATAAACATTAGAGTACATGGCCCAACCTTCGGGCAGGATGGCCGATGAAGACCAAGTCCGGAGAGGCCATTAATTTGCCTCTAAGTCTGTCCTAGAATACTCCTACTTGAACTCAATCTTAGAAGACGAGTTGAAGGAATAAAATATATTAAAAAAAGCCTTATGGCTTATTACTCTTGGGGTTTTCCATCTTTTTATCCTTGGAGTTCAAAAATGTAGAAGGTGATGAGCTTTCCTCAATCCGATGTCGGGAGGTGATGTGTTGGCAGAGTCGACTAAGACTAGTCCAGAGGGAGAGGCACTTTGATTTGAGATAAAAAAAAAAAAGTAGAAGGCCTACCGGCAAGGCCGCATCCCAACGAGCCAATAAAGGCCATGTCCAGCAGGTTGTGCGTGCATTCGAGGTAGGGATGAGTTTGCAAAATACAGAAGCTCCTCCTCGTCAGAATGCTGAGATAGATACGGAAGTCGTTGGGCAGGAGGTTGAGCAATCCCCTGGTGTGAATGGAAGGCTCGAAGATCTGAATGAGTACGGCTCCAATTATGATGACCCGAAAATCAGAGAGAAAACGACCATTCCAGGCGGTGGATGGGGAATCATGACCCCCCTACACCGAAAAAACAAATTGTGGAGGACAAGGATGTTGCTGCTACGGTGGAGGAAACCAGCCTAAATTGGTCCCAGCAGGATAAATGAGGCTTCTGGCCTGGAATGTAAGAGGAATTGGACCATCCCTTACATTCCAAACTGCAGTCGGTTTAGTTCATTCGAATAAACCGGACCATGTCTTCTTTTCTGAGACAAGAGCTCGCCGGAGATTAGTTTCCCATCGTATGCGGGGATTAGGGTTTGAGTCTTCGAATATTTTTTTTTTTGTTGATGCTATAGATGCATCTGGTGGTCTTGTTGTTGCTTGGTCCCCCGAAGTCGAGGCTTCGGTGTTCTATCATTCCAATTTCTGTATTTGTGTCCAGATTAATGAAGTGGATTTTTCTTATTCCGTGATTTGTGTTTACATTAGTTGTAACCCCTTAATAAGAGCCACTCAATTGGCTCACTTTTGGGGAATTTGTGACACTATCCAGCTCCCCTTTGTGGTCATCGGTGACTTTAATACCACGCTTCACGAGGGCGAAAAAGATGGTGGAAATCCTTGGAATGCTGCTCAGTTTGTTATCCTCCGTGAGTTTATTCAGGACCTTGGCCTTCATGACCCAGGTTTCCAGGGTGATCAATTCACTTGGACTAACAAACGTATGGGGACTGCGTGTATTCGTGAAAGACTGGACAGGGCCCTCTATTCGCATTTGTGGATCGAGCGCTTCCCAGATACACTTGTCAAGAATTTCATGGATCAAGGATCTGACCATCGGGATTTGCTCTTATCAGATAAGCCTTATGTACGGAACAGTCGACCCCTATTCTGATTTGATGCTCGATGGGCCGATAATCCGGAAGTTCGAGCCATGGTCGCGTATGTTTGGCAAGAATCCATATATGGCACTCGAATGTACCAATTATGGGAGAAGCTTAAAAAACTTCACCATCTGCTCTATGACTGGAGCAGGGCGGGTATGACCAACTCTCTCCGCAATATTAGAACTCTCCAGGCTGAAATTGATCGCATCAAATCAATTCACCCCATCAATTGGGAAGAGGTGTGGAGTCTAGAAATTGGACTTAATAGGCAATGGGAGGCGGACATTGCCAGTAATTTCTACCAGCATCTCTTCACTTCGGAAAGCCAAGTGCATAACATGGTTGATAGGGTGGCTGACCTTCCCATTGCTCACAGTGTGATCCAGGAAATGAACACCATGCTTACGGCGGAGGTTTTACCCGATGAGGTTATAAAAACGGTCTTCTCCATGGGATCGAAACAGGCTCCAGGATCTGTTGGTTTCACTGGAAAGTTTTTCAAGTCCTTCTGGGATATTGTTGGCAACGCGATAATTGAAGCAGTTTGCTCGTTCTTCGCAACGAGCAAGATGCTCAGGAGCTTTAATCATACGTGGTTGACATTAATTCCCAAAGTGGATAATGTTGAGGATATGAGACAACTCCATCCTATTAGAATTTGCTAGTTTGTTTACAAAATCATCACGAAAATCATGGCTGAAAGACTGCCGGGCATCTTACCTCAAATTGTCTCCAAAAGGCAGAATGCCTTCATCCGTGATAGACAAATCATTGATAATATCCTCATTGGGCACGAATTAATGCACTATTTAAAAACCAAAACCTGTGGTAAGAAAGGGTACATGGCTCAAAAGGTTCACATGGAAAAGGCCTATGATAGAGTCGAATGGTCTTTCCTGCTTGCGGTATTGGAAAAAATGGGTTTTAACTCCACCTGGATGGGATGGATTATGGAATGCCTACAATCCACGTCGTTCCATTCTCATGAACGACACTCCTGCTGGCTTCTTCGCTCCCTCTAGGGGGCTCCGACAAGGTGATCCCCTGTCCCCGCTATTATTTGTTCTCTGCACGGAGGGCTTTGCATATCTCATCAGTAAAGAAATCGGGGACAAAAAAACTTGAAGGGGTGAAGGTGGCCCCTCGTGCTCCTCGGATCTCTCATATGTTTTTTTGCGGCTGACTCGTATTTATTCCTTCGAGGCTCCCTGCAAGAGTGTGAGAACTTAATCGTTGTATTAAATGAGTAGGAGGAGCTGAGTGGCCAGAGGGTGAATTTAGTGAAATCGCTTGTTTGCTTCAATAAGAATATTTCCTTGCCTGGTCAAGAATTATTGGCTCAGGTCCTGGGATTCGGGGTGTGGGGATCCACGATAAATATTTAGGGCTACCCATGCTGGTCGCTCGGTCCAAAATGGATACCTTCCGTTATTTGGAGGGCAAATTGCTTAAGCGACTACAGGGATGGAAGCGTCGGACATTGTCTTGGGCGGCAAAGGAAACTTTGATTAAGTCTATTGCTTTAGCCTTGCCGTTACAAGTCATGTCATGCTTCAAATTACCCCTATCCCTATGTCGGCTCTTAGACAAACATGTGGCACGCTTTTGGTGGGGTGTGGAAGAAGGCCAATCCAGAATTTGGTGGATATCCTGGCGCAATATGTGTAAGAGTAAACATGATGGGGGTATGGGATTTCGCCGATTTGAGCATTTTAATAAGGCATTATTAGCCAAAACTGGATGGCATGTCCTTCATAAGCCCCAGTCATTGTTGGCCCGGGTCTACAAAGGGAAGTAATTTCCAGCAGGGTCCTTCCTCGGTGCTAAGGCTCGCTCTCGCCCGTCGTGGGGTTGGCAGAGTATCCTCCATGGACGACAGTTATTAGAAGCAGGTGTGAGATGACAAATTGGTAATGGCCACACTGCTCCTCTGCTTAATTCCAACTGTATTCCTCGGATACATCCCTGTTCTCCTACATATAATCCGCAGGTGCTGCCGGTCGAGGGTGACCCTCCAATTTCTGAAGTTATTCGTCCGAGGGAAGGGCGTTAGTGTGACATAAAATTAGTCAGTGGTTTGATCCTCCTACCAGTCGTGCTATTAAGGATATCCCCCTTCCGTGTCGAAATATGGAGGATAGACTGCTCTGGCATGGCACGCCTGATGGGGTTTTCACTATTAAGTCAGCTTACCATTTTGCTATCTCTCTTGATCAGCGGAATGGTAGTTGGGGGTCTATGGCCAGTTGGATGGATAGGTCAAGCTGGATACGTTTATGGGAGGCGAATATTCCGCCCAAATTGAAAGTATTTGTCTGGCAAATTTTTCATCGAGTCCTTCCTACTACTGAGGCCTTAATTGAGAAGGATATCCATGTGCTTCCCAGGTGCCCGGTGTGTTGGGCGGAGACTGAAACAATAGAACACTTGTTTCTTGACTACCCAGTAGCGCGTGTCCTGTGGGACTATTCGGGTCTGGAATATCCTGGCCAGGGTTTTTCTCGTCATACTTTCCTGCTGTTTTTGAAGCGATTGATGACCCTGATTCACCAAACTCCCTTGTTTATGGCAGTTTTGCAATCCTCTGGCCGTCTCGTAATTGGATTGTCTTTGAGGGTAAACAATTTGGGATCCCCGCCCTGATGTGCCAATTTAACCAGCAATATGAGGAGTGGGTGGGCTTGCCAATAGATAGGGGGTCGCTGCTTCACTCCCCGTTGCCACAACCATTGGACCCCGGGGGATCTAACATGGTTGTTTGTATGTGGGATGGGGCTGTGCGGAGTGGTTCTCATCGGCGGGCGGGATGGTCATTATGAGCCCTGCTAGGTCGGTCCTATTTGCGAAGGGGATTCAGTTCCCGTTGGTGGATGACCCTCTGGTGGTTGAATTGCTTGTGTTCCGTGAGGCGATCCTTTGTTATATTGGCCAGGGCTTCACTGATATAAGGTTTGAAGGGGACGCCAAAGTTATCATTGACAAGATTAATAGGGCCGATGTACGGGATAACAAGGTGGGGGCTATTCTTAAAGAAGCTCTGCAGTACCTTGCCATTAACTCGGGGTTTAGTGTTCGATTTGTAGGTCGGTGTATCAATAGGGTAGCCCACTCGGTGGCTAGACAGACCCTCTCTTTGTACCCGACTACGTGTCTTTTTTTTTTTTTTTTTTTTGACTTCCGGACCTGACTGAACTCCAGGATGTAACTATCTACTCTTTTGGATCAATATATGATTAACTTTTGTAAAAAAAAAGTTCAAAAATCTAAAAGAGTTTAGGCAGAATAAGAGAAAGAATCAGCAAGGCCGCCTCACATGTGGTTATCTATTTTCCTTTCCAGATATCTAGCTGACACCCCATAATTAGGAAGTTTATATTTTATCAAACAATATTTAGGAAGTACATCATATTGTGATATAGTCGCATGTACTATAATTTAATATAAATGTTGATTTTTTTATTTCTTCATATCATTGGTTGTTCTTACTTAATTTCTTAATATTCAGAATTTTCAGAAAACAAACTATTGTGATCCTGACATGGTGCATTGCTCCAAGTGGTGTGCAACAATTCGCTTAGATTTAAACCTAACTCAGGAGAACTATGATCCAGTTGTGAAATAAGCTTGTTACATCATCCTTTCTCAATTGATCCAAAAAATAGATCGATGGTCAATCAAACCAGATAACCGGAATGTTACATCTTATTTTTGCATGAGCCATACTGTGAGCGGCTTTGTTCGCTAGCCGAGCAGTATGTCTCTAAAGTCGAACTCTGTTTCAGCGGAAATGCCAAGTAGGCCAACAATTGGCGAATTCTACCCATAAAAATAGAGCGTTGTCGAGTGAGTCCTTAATGATTGACTTCAATCATAATTCATAGCCACCATGAGTCACCATCAACTTCAAAGGCCGAAAAGGAGGAAGCTGCATTAAAGGATGGTTCTGAAAGGTTAATTGTTATTTGGCCAGCCGCCAGGTCTGTAATAAAAATAAAAGAACGGATGAATCACCTCAAATCCGACCATTCACTCTGGTTTTACTTCTGTTGCAGAATTTGACAATCATTAAAGTAGAGATCTACACAAAAGAGGAGGGGGTACTAACCCAGTCTATCAATCACTCTCGCCGAGACTCTCCCTCTATTGTTGGCGCATGTTCCCCTCTCCTCTTCACTGGATCATACCCCAAAAATTCCAATAATTGTTTAATCACTATTATTTTCGATAACTTGGATTCCAGTTAATCATATTATTTAATCACTATTATTACCATGTTGGCCATTAGGTAACCAGATCCATCCATCAGAGTTTTAATATGTAAAGGGACTTGGTAGTTTGCATTCCATGTAAAACAACAATAACCATTCCAACAACAAAAAGTAATGGTTCAGTTAAGCTTAGTGACCTACCTGGACAGCAGCAGCAGCAGATTCAATGCTTGCCTTGTTCGATTGACGGTCATCAATTTCTAGGATGCTGAATTCATGGGACGAAGTCTTTGATATTGAATTCTGTTAGCATAATCTGGAATTGTAACTCCAAATGTTGTATTTCCAGACCTTGTTGATTGGAAAATCACTCCTGAAAATGGAAAGGGGTCTGCTAGAGGTTTGATTTCAGACCCTACAGTGGAGACACAAAGGATGCAGTATTTTGATGTAGGAAACTGTCATAGCCCTCTTGGCTGGCCGACTCTACTGTTCAATGATGAAAAATTTTGGACGTGGAAAAGGAAACTGTCTTAGCCCTACCGATGTTCAAGGAAGGGGTGGCTTGAATGTAGTAAAAACCGAATGCAGGTATGTCATGCACACTGTTATCACATTCACTATCTATTCACTCCTCTCAATTTTTTGCTGTATGTTTTGCAAGTTGAAACATGGAATGAAATTGCATTAGACTCGGCTGCAAATATTGAAAGATCTACACCATTATCTAATCTTATACCCTAAAAACCTCCACTGCCACTAAACAGCTTGCAGCACTCTGTTCTAGATATAGAGAGGGTAGACGCTAACAAACACAGAACACAACACAAACCATGAAGTTGAAAACAAAAAGGAACCTAATAGAGGGTGGATCAAACTCCCCTGATACATTTTTAATTGATAAGCCATGGAAGTTTATCATTAACATAAAGGTCCTGGACGGAATGAAGTTTAATATCCTTGAGAGTTGACTTTCGATTGACAGATGTTGTGGAGGTGGTCAATGTTGTGGCCACCCGACTCTACTGTTCAATCAATGATGAAATTTTTTGGACATGGAACATGAAAAATGTCATACACGATTGCTAAAAGTCAAAAGAAAACGATAAGTACACTCATACTGAAACGGTAATACATTAAGTTCTTGTATATAGATGAGAGAAATAAAAGACAGGGCCAAGTCACACTTCCCTAGCTTATTAGATTCAAAAAAGTTGTCTGTATCAGAGCAGGAGAGCTGAGTTGCGGATAGAGAAGCTTGCAATGAACCTTGTTGCTGTGACCAGTAGCAAATTGAAATAGAGCTAATACAAACAACAAACCAAAGAGTGTGTTCTGAGGAGTGTGATAGCAAGAAAAGAATACTGAAAATGCATCAAAGTTGTGAAAAAAACCAATACAATGCGGCACCAGAAATTACAGTGCATGGTGTTGAAGAAGGGACCCGGAGAATCCAGCTACCGACTGCGCAGGAAGCATCAAGTTTGGCGATTCCTTTAACAATTGAATATGGCAGCGATGGCTGGAAGCTGCGATCCCACCCTCTTCAAGAAGTGCAGAATATATCGAGTCCATCTCTTCTATCAAATTAATTCAACTTTCTGCATCGTCAACCTATATCAGTGCATCGGAATGCAAGGGGTTAAAGATTGAAAGTATTTCAAAAATCACGCTACATTCAAACTCATTTTAGCAAGCAAAACAGATTATATTAACATCATAAATAAATGTGCAAACAATAGCTAAGTTAGACGCAGTAGAGTTATAAGTTGGGTATCCCAAACTGGAACAACCCCATGCCTTGGCATAGATTCAATTAGGTACTGATTTTTAGAGATAATGTAAGTTCCAATGTTCAACCTTCCTTGAAAGTTAAATTTACCTGGCTCATCCTCAATTGCTAAAAGATACGCTGCTCCACCATTCTCTTTTTCACATTCATATAGAGTGAAGCAACTAAAGCTTCAAAACGCACCAATATAGTAACACTGATCACGGGTTTCAAAGATCTTCAAAGCTGAATTCAGGGAAAGGTCTCAAAATTGACCAATACCCACCAACTCCAATGATCTGACACTCACAAAGCCAGATTCCAAAAGTTCAACAAACTATCTCTTGTAACCTGTAACTTCCAAAGCACTATGAAAATGAAGCCTACACAGTATAATTATAGAGGGAATGAATCACAGATGCACCAAGAAGATATATATATATATAAAGGAAACCTAACGATTGAAATGAAAAGTCAAGAAAATGGCAGAAAGTTATCTTGTTAATTTATGTTGGAAATGCTATTTTGTTCCTCCATGGAATCAAGCGAAAAAAGAAACATCTAACCAAGTTGACAAAAATTCATTTTTGAATCCACACACAAATGTTGTGCTCAGCCAAAAGAAGGAAAAACACACAAATAACTATGGAAAAGAAGAACACCAGAACTTAATACCGAAATGATCTACTACATCGGGGAAAAAGAAATAGTTAAAAAGAAGGAAAAAAAATAGAGGGAAAATCCAGTCATCATTAGGCATCTATAAGGATGAAAAAACCCAGCAACACTACATAATCTTGTCTTACCCCATGTATGTGTTTTTTTTTATAATGGTGACATCATTTTTATTGATTAAGAAACAAAGGAAATAATTACCCCACGTATGTGTTTTCTTGGCCAATACCTAAACACATTTCAAGTCCAAACCCCTCAGCTGCAAAAAAAATCAAACAATTTAAGTCAAGCCAGGGGCCATGAAAAGAACAGAAGCAAACTAATCCCAAACCAAAAGAAACTGAAGGGATACAAAGAAACAACACCACTAATAATCGTTCAGCTTAAGTCATAATGTAGCCAGAATTACCAAGAGCTAAATAAAACCCCACCATCAGCTAAAGCCACTTATAGCCAAATGGTTTCAAGTCATTATGATGAAGCTTCTGAATTGGGGTAGTTTCCACACCCTTTCATGAAACTATTGAGTATCTACTCGAACAATATATTTCTGCATCCAAGGTGAAACAGCTTACAAGTTCAATAGCACTGGCCTAATTGGGCAATATCTGCAAAAAAGGTAGGTTGAAGCTTTGTTGTCCACTACCCTAATTCAGAAGCTTCATAATAATGCAATTTGAAATCAAATTCGACCAAATTAAGGGTGAATAAGCCTACAACAGAGAATGGAACAAAAAGAAATTACCATGTCCTGATTTCGTATCTAACCTTTAAAGGTTTTCACAACAGGATCTAACTTAAGGATACCGTGGATAATCTCTGGTTGAACACTCTGCATAATCTTAAATTAAGAATATCAAATGACTGAAGGCTGAATAATGCTGAAACACATCCTCAATTCCATTTTCCATCGCTGAACTCCAATCTTCTTTGTTTAGATAATTGAAGCAACATATCTTGTTGAACACTATTCAGTTGAACTCTTATCCATCACGTCACTATCTACATGATCAATGAGAACATAAAAGGACTGACAATTCCCCAACCAAGATAGCATCTTTACTCCGCTTTCCCACTTTAATAACAAAATCATATGCAAAAGTTCCATAATATAAATTGGACTTCCACCTTACCTTCACGCTCTTCCATGCCAAATACTGAAATACGCGCTTATAAGGAGATAGGAATAGGCGAAATGAAGAACGACCCAAATAAGAGCAGACCGGAAATTCAGAAACAGAGTTCAAGATGAATGACAATATGGAAATTGCAGCGGTGCCACAAATCACAACACTTAAGTTTGTAAAGTAGGCTGAAGAAGACGATCGGCGTCGTGGATGGATGCGAGCGGCGGTCCCAGGCCGTGGTTGAGATTCCTTCGGTGGATTCGTGGTAGAGATAATGGCGGATTCGTGGTACATATTTGTCCGGCGTGAACAACCGGGAGCGCCTCAGCCACCGTGTGTTACAACCGGGAAATGAGCCGCTACACCGATTGTTGGAAGTCGGCTGGGTAGGAGTCGACGACCAGTGAGGGTACTGCGATGGGAAGCTTTTGCGTCAAGTCGTCAACTGCTGCGGTTTTTTGTTTGTGGGCCGAGGCCCGTTCAATATCCAGGGCACACTTTTGACTTTACTTTTGCGGAGAAAGAAGAGAAAAAAATTCTTTCCAAAAACAACCCTCCGCAAAACTATCTGTAGGCATGAAATTTGAAATGGGATTGTTGTTTTCTCATCTCACTATTAATTTAACTAGCTTTTATCCGACCTGGGGATGGGATTAGGTTTTATATTAATCAATGCATTCGTATTTTCATTAAAGACTATTATTGACTCAAATGGAGGAGAAGTTTCTAGCTCGGTTACAGGGCTGGAAGCAGCGCACTTTGTCATGGGCAGCGAAGAAGACTTTAATCAAGTCAGTGGCCTTGGCCCTACCCTTACATGTTATGTCTTGCTTCAAGCTCCCCCTCTCACTTCGTCGGCTCTTGGATAGACATGTTGCTCGATTTTGGTGGGGGTGGAGAATGGCCAGGATAAGGTGAGATGGATGTCTTGGCAGAATATGTTCCGCAGTAAGCATGAGGGTGGGATGGGATTTAGGCGTTTTGAGCACTTTAATCAGACACTTTTGGCTAAAATTGGATGGCGTCTTAAACGAGCCTGATCCGCTTATAGCTCAGGTGTATAAGGGGAAGTATTTTCCGAGGAGTGGATTCCTAGAGGCAAAGGCGTGGTCCCGTCCCTCCTGGGGGTGGCAAAGTATCTTGTTTGGGCGCCAACTGTTGAGCCAGGGCCTTCGTTGGCAAATTGGTAATGGCCAAACAGCCCCTCTACTTCTGAGTAGTTGGATCCCAGGCCTGCATCCTCTGGTTCCTACGTTTAATCCCTGTGTGTTGCCTGCTAATGGGGACTTGCGGGTTGCTTCTGTTATCAATGGGGAGGAGGGTTCCTAGTGTGACGCGGACTTGGCCCTTTGGTTTGACCTCCCCACCTGTCGGATCATCAAGGAGATTCCCCTTCCTCGTGGTAATGTTGAGGATCGACTTATTTGGCATGGCACGCAGGATGGATTTTTCACTGTGAAATCGGCTTACCATCTGGCAGTCCAGTTGGATAAAAAGGATGGTCGGTGGCGTTCTTCGGTCAGTTGGATCGATAGGCCTAGTTGGATACGCGTCTGGGAGGCCCCAGTTCCCCAGAAACTAAGGGTCTTCCTCTAGCAAATCTTAAATCGGCTCCTTCCTACTACTGAAGCTCTGGTAGAGAGGAAGATCCAAGTACACCCTCGTTGCCCAGTTTGCTGGGCCGAGTCCAAAACTTTGGAGCATTTGTTCCTGGAGTCCCCTGTGGCGCGAGCTCTTTGGGATTACGCAGGTTTGGAGTATCTAGGTCAGGGGTTGCCTCGTCACACTTTCCCTTTGTTCATGAAACGGTTGTTGAATATCCTCCATCAGGACCATTTGTTCATGACGGTTACGGCTGTCCTTTGGCGAATTTGGCGGTCCCGGAACTGGGTTGTGTTCGAAGGAAAACAGTTTGGGATTCCTGCTTTGATGAGGCAGTACCACCAGCAGTACCAGGAATGGATTAGTTTGTCAGTTGGTAAATCTCAGGGAGGTCCTGCTCCCCCGGAAGTGGAGGTTCCACATTTCCCTATGATCTGCTTGTGGGATGGGGCTACCATGACAGCCTCCCATTCGGCAGGAGGGATGGTGGTGAAGAATCACTTGGGGGACATTCTTATAGCCATAGGATTCCAGTTCGCGGGCATCGAGGATTCGTTGGTTGCTGAAGCTCTTGCTCTTCGGGAGGCTATTCTCTGGTGCCGAGACTCTGGGTTTGTAGAGGTGCGCTTTGAGGGGGATGCCAAGGTGCTTATTGAGAAGATTAATCAGGCAAATACTAGGGATAGTAGAGTTGGGGCGCTCCTGGAGGAAATTGTAGGGGCTTTTGGTTCGATGGGAGGTTTCTCTGTCCGGTTTGTAGGTCGGCGTAGTAATAGGGTAGCCCACTTGGTGGCTAGAAATGCTCTTCATTTGTACCCGACTACGAGTCGTTCTTTTGATTTTCTGGCCTGGCTCAATTCCAGGATGTAACTACCTATATTTCTGATCAATATATCGATTTTCTTTTGGAAAAAAAGACTCAAAAACTAAAAGTTGCAGCTCTCCAAGAAAACTCTTCAAGGGACATTTTTTGACAGAGTGCAATATTGAAAAAAAAAACTACAGTAATTCACAAATAGGATTAATTCAAGTACAATAATGTAAGATAACCATCCAGCAAAAATCATTCTCAAACTCAAAGATAAGCATACTGACCCTACCTAATCTACACAGAAACCTGCTTTCTAGTAGTGGTGGTCTAATTGAGTTCACCTATAGCTTTGCATATTGCATTTCATTTATAAAAAAACACTCTCTAGCCCAGTTCTCGGTTCCCATCATCATGTTCAAATTCTAACAACAAATAACAGCTCACGAAACCGTTAGCTAACCGGCTGGACTAACCTGTACCTAGTCCATGTTAGGATGGTCTTTTCTTTCGCCCATCAACATCATCATCTACTTGTTGAATGCTCACAGTTTCTTTTGGCTATGAAATATGAGTTATTATCGGAGTGAGCAAGTTCGTAGTCTTTCTATATCATGATACTATCAGGTGGGAGGAAAAACAATTTCATCGTTATTTTTCTACACCAAAGTGAAATTCTTATTTCCTGGGAACCAAACGACAGCATAACAACACACACTTAATTACCTTAAAGCATCTTCATTATCATTAGGGGAGGATCCTAAACAAAGACCATAAACCATCGCAAGCTTAGTGGAGCTTCAACCGGGAATATAAAGGTAAATTTCAATACGAACCATTCATACTCGCTGAATATAAAAATCAATCTAGAATGGAGATTAATACACTTCACTTGTGGCCCTTCAACTATAAAGTTCAGGTTAGCAAAACACTCTAACTATCCACCTACGTTAAAGAAACATATTTTTCAAAACCATTGTCACAGTAATGGTGCAATTGGAGGAATTAGCACATAACATTATCTCCTAATTAAAGGACTAATACCAATGACTGAACATACCATCAGCTCCTACAATCAATTGAATATAGTAGGAGCTCCTCCTAGTGAAAGAAAAGGAAATTGGACCATTTGGTATAAATTGGGGTTGACATTATATATTGACAATGGAGAGCTTTACTCATTGTGAGGGAAAGAGAAGATACCATGTAATCAATTTCTTTCATTTGATACGCATTCCTAGTACCACCTGTGACCCAACTCTATATCCTCCCGTCTACAAACTGAAGTCATGGGGTTGGGGTGAGGCTTCAGATCTTAGAGACGGGAGAAACTGATACCGAAGGCATACAATCACATTCTCTACAGTTAGCTAACAAAGAGAAGAGAACAAACTCACATGGTAAAAGATGTAACAGGGCACTAATAAGTTTGCCCTAAGAGTTGAAAACCAAATGACAACTACCTCTGCACAAGTAGCATTGGTTTAGTCAAAGGAAACAAAGAACTAATCCTACACTCAAAATGGTGAAAAGGGTCCAGAAGATTTTTACTTCTGCGGATGAAAAGCAAACTACGAAAAACTTCTCATTTTTGGGGTACAAAAGGAGGTTGACCAAGAAGATCATGTTTACATAGTAGTAAAAATCCTGAGATTAGTAGCATACTTAGAAGCTAGCAAGAGTTTTAGCAGTTCATATATCTGGATCTGCTCAGAGAAAACACATACAATAGTGAAACAAAGTAAATTAATTTATCAGACCTTAAAAATTTAAGTCCAAACATGAAAATGTATATCAGGTGCAAGCATTATGTATGATTTTCATAATTTGTAATGCTTTTTATGGGAGATGGACTTCTAGTATTCGATGACTGAAAAGCTAAGCCAAAATCACGACCAATCAACATCCTTTTTTTGCTTCACGACCAATCTTTAAAGAAATGGATTACCAGAAAAGCTAACTTGCCAACCTTACAGTCTCTGACCCCCGAATCCGCGACCCCAACGGATGCTTAGACATGATCGAAAGAGCTTAGGTGCGTCATGTACCAAAACCTTTCGTCAACATGGTTGTTGTGAACCCCAAAGCGGCAGGGGAAAGAAAAACATGGAAAATCAATCCCTTTTAAACTAATCAAAGCCACCATTGCTCATTTCTGGTTTTTTGCACCATTTAGGCAAATTGAAGTAGTTGAATCGACTGTCTTCTCCATCAAATCCAACCAATGAACCAACCCCAACAAAACTTTACCTGGGGAAAAATCGACCACCGATTGCAGACCTACTACGAAGCTACCATTCCCCATGTGCTTAATGGATTAAAACCTGCACTTCAGACAACAAAATGACTCTTCATGTTGACCACACCTGAGAGAGAAAACTTAGCAACTATCAACAAACTGGGACTCTTCATGTTGACCACACCTGAGAGAGAAAACTTAGCAACTATCAACAAACTGAATCATCATACGATACTGCATATTCAATGATTTCGCACATTAATTTCTTAAATAAACCACCACATCTATAATTATCATGTTAAGATGTATGCTTCTATCTTTTAAACCACTTCTTGTTGACATAGTATCAAGACAATGCTCATGATTCAGTAAGTCTACTATTCCAAAGGTGCCTAGTGCAGATTAGACACATCTCATCATTTATTAAAACATCACCAAATATGAACTAAAAGAGCAATAGATGAACTGCATAAATACCTTTTGAGAAGTTATCAAGCACAAACGGGAAAAGAGCAACTCCATGCAATACATTTAAGAAGTTATTAAACACAAACAATTTTTTTTATTGTGGCGGCTTATACAAAAGAGCTCATGTTGCTTGTCAACATGATGCTTTCTGTCCAACTAAGTAGCTAATGAATCGAGATTTCTCATTACAATAGTTTAGGTACAGAGACAGATTTAAGCATTCATAGAGTTAGAAACTTGCTAGATCTATGTCATGAACTAGGCTCTCAATATAGATTCACCATGATAAGAACAATGATAATTAAAATAATCCCAAGGAAAATAAATGATTATCAGAACCATGGAGCTTTTTATTTAAAAATTTGAAAAGGTAATAAAGACATCGCTTAACTGGGACATTAAACAAAACTGGATCTTATGAAAACGAAGAGTATTTCCTAATTGTATTAAAGCTAATGACCAAAAGGCTATCAATCTCACCTAAAGTTGTATAACTTGTAATTCTGGAACTTGTAAAACCAAAGGCTAGCCAGCATACAACCCCAAGAACATCAAGCAAGCCTTTTGAAACCAACAATCAAATGGCACACGTATAAAAGAGGTAAATGAAAGGGAAAACTCTCTTTTAAAGCACTAACATCAAATTGAAAGTACCTCAAATTGGTGGTTACACACTTACACTTGTAGCCTGCTAAATAATCCCTTAACTTTGCCTCCATATCGATTTTGGGATGTATCAAGTTCATCTCTTGAACTCCTTCAAGATTTCGTTCTTCTTTGCAACAGGGGAACCATTCGTCTTTTAATCTCTGTCGCAACTGGGGTTCCCCGGAAGTTAGAGTGAATTCACTTTGTAAATTCCTCTATGATGCATTCACCCGGCTACCCATATGCTGGATTCTTTTTCTTCATAAGGGATTCAAGTAATTCCGTTGGATAGAGTTCTATTTCCAAAATAAGGGCAAAAAGGATCAAGCCAATGGTTCTTATTCATCAATCTGCTTATGCATTTGGTTAGTGCAAAACTGCAATCAAAACTTTGCAATTAAGCGACCCACCAAACAATCCCCCTTTTAAATATACTACTAACTAATATCTACAATCAAGGGACTAATACAAAAGGAATTCGATTGATATTGTCCAGTAGACCAAAAATCAAGAGACAATGTATCTTGATTAATTGATTCCCAATCTACTAAAAAGAAATCCACATCCAAATACCAAGTGTTCCTTACCAACCATTACCAGCTGGATGAAAGCAAACTGCAACACAATGAAAAGCAATCTAGAGATCGAATAGAGTACTCCAGTTAAGAGCTCATATAGTTTACGATAAAATGAGGAACAAATGCAAAAAAAAAAAAAAATTCAATACCCACATGAATGAATGGAAGCAAAAACTGATAAATGAATAACAAACACCAAAGAGATCTTACCTCCAACAGGATAATCTCGCTAAAAAAAACCACCCCCACAGAATCCTTATCCAGAAAATCTTTTGGACACTAAAATTGAGAAAGAGAGGCTGCAACTCGTGGAATCCAGTAAAGATGGAACGGGAACGGAATCGACAATCGACTAATACAGTTGATGGAAACCCATAGGCTTCAGTGTTCGTGGTGATGGCTTCATTCCCCCTTGTCTTCCCTACTCGTCGCGGATGACCCACGCTTCTCTGACTGCTAATCGGTGACCCATCTTGGCCAGCGTCAATCAATCGAAAGAGAAAAAATCAAGCTTCTCTAGACGGCGTGAAGGGGTTGGAATGAAGAAATCGAGACAACGTTATCGAGGAGTGTAGCCTGGAATTCGCAGAGAAGCTCGATTGTTAAGTGAGAGTGTAGAAACAACCATCGATTAGCTTTCCCCTTTCCTCTTCAGCGAACACCCAAAATTCCAGGTATCATCTCCCATCTGGAACTCCCTTCACTTTCCGTTTTCTTGAACGATCGATCCTTCAAAGACGATGTCGATTCTTAAAGGGAAAGAAAAAAAAGCCCGTTTAAATGCCCAGCCACATAAGCTTCCGCAAATCACTGTAGGAGCAGAGATTTTTGAATGGAGGGTGTAGTTTTACTTTTTCGCTATAAATGATACTGTAGACTATAGATAGATAGATTATCATATAATACATATGTGCTTAATAGTTCATAAAATACGAGCCCAATGAACAAGATCAGCCCAGACCCAAAGATATTGCCAGCCGTTAGTCTGACTTTAGCAAGGAAGACCCTCCCAGCCTCCCTTCACCTTAGGACCCATTCCTGGACTCTCAGACTCAGTTGGACCGCCTCGACACTTCTAATAAAAGAAAACACTCCAAGAAAAGATAACAGAAAGCAGATCTGCGTTACTGTGTAAACGTATATATACCTCAACAAAACTTCAGGAATCAGGATCCCAGAGAAAAGTACTCATTCGTCCCAAAAAAGGACGGTCCGGCCAACCAAAAATTTCCACAGCATTACTTTCCTCAACCAGTGTTCCTCATTCCAGCAGCAATCCCGTTAATGGTGATCAGCAAAGCATCTCTGAGCTTCACGTTATCATCGTCCCTTCTCAGCCTCTTCAGAATCTCAACCTGCAACATGTTCATCGGGTTCAAATACGGCAGCCTCCCTTCAATAAGCCGCCTCAAGCTCTTGTTGTTGTCCGACAGCTTATCGTGCCCACTCACCACCAACACGTACTTCTCCGTCGACGACAGCTCCTTCCTCAGGTCATCCCCAATCTTCTGCCTGCTCTCGGAAACCAGCACCTCGTCATAGTGTTTCGCTATCGAGGCGTCGGCCTTCCCTATGATCATCTCGATGAGATCGATCGTGGATTGGAAGAAGGGCCACTCCTGGTACATCGCCTTCAGGTCCTCGGTATGTCCCTTCTCGCAAGCGTATTGGAGTCCTGCACCGACACCGAGCCAGGCGGGCAGGACGAATCTGGTCTGCGTCCAGGCGAACACCCAAGGGATGGCGCGGAGATGGCCGATTCCGGTCGAGGCCTTCCTGCGCGTGGGACGGCTGCCTATGTTGAGGTAACCCAGCTCGGCCTGTGGGGTGGCCTCCTGGAAGTAGGTGATGAATTCCGGGTTCTCGTACACCGTGCTCCTGTAGTTCTGGCAGCTCACCTTTGATATCTCCTCCATCAGGCTTCGCCATTTTAGTTCCCGAGGTGGGAGTGGTGGCCGCAGAGTTGCCAGCAGAACTGCAGTTGTGTAGATCTCTAGCTGTCTGACTGCTGTGTTTGGGAGACCGAACTTCGCCTGCACCATTTCTCCCTGCTCAGTTGACCTCAGAGTGCCCTGCCAAATGCAGAGTAATATGCATTGAGTAACGTTGGTGGGTATCTGAAGATATGGAAGGAATCAACGGAAAATTGCAGTGTTGGGATATATCCTCCAGAGGTGGCAAATTCAAATCCAACGGATTTGTAGTTTGGCGGGTTCAAGTATTTCTGGGAAGTTACTATTTAGTACCCCAAGTTTTTGGGCGTACGTATATAACTCACCATTACTGAGCCTGGAGGCTGGGATTGAATGGCGAGATATGTGGGGCCGCCACCACGACCGACGCTTCCTCCACGGCCATGGAAGAGAGTTACTTTAATGCCAAACTCGTTGCATGCAGACACAACATCCTCTTGGGCTTTGTAAAGCTCCCAAGCAGCAGTGAAGCGGCCTGCGTCTTTGCCAGAGTCCGAATATCCAACCATCACCTAGTTTGTTTCAGGTTAGTCAGAGTTCCAAAATGAGGTTTCAGCAGGAGCATTAACCAGATTCAGTTTGGATAAATGAATTACCTCCTGATGGCCGTTATGATTCTTGATGACGTGCTCCTTGTACCAATCGATCGACAAAAGTTTTCTGATTACTGAACCAGCCTCTCTCAGATCCTTCACAGTTTCAAACAGTGGAGCAACCCGGAGCCTACATAACAGTAAACACAGATGACATGAGAAACAACCTTCATATATATGAAGAGGCTAAAGCCAGAGTCTAAAGTTGACTCAGAGGCACGACATGGAAGCTTCATGTTTGGTCTTCTTCGAAAAAGGACATGTTCAAGAAACCAAGGCCAGTCCAAGCTAAGAAAGCAACAAGAGAAAACAAAAGGCTGACTTACGTTCCACCAGGACATGGTCTCCCTAACTCTCCACTAACAGAAAGACGGGCATCTTTTTGAAGAAGCTCCACTGCAAGAACATCACTTGCCTGCCAAGAAACAGATTGCTAGTTTTTTAGCTTTTTCAACATTCAATAACAGATAGTAAGTAGTTCTTTTGATAACTAAGAAAGAACTACTATTTCGTTCCCGATTCAGAATTCCAAGCCCTAGCTTTGGCTTGAGTCATTACATTGGATGCCATAGAAATCACATAAGCTCCAAGAGAATCACTGCCAAGCTCAGCAGCCACGCGGAAGGTATCCAATACTTCTTTCACCTCGGGTGGAACCTGCGGAGGCGAAATGTTTGGTTATTCACAGAATATGAGCATTGACTACTCCATCCTAGCCTGGAAAGCAATAAACAAAGTACTCTCTAGACGCAATAGTTCATGTGGAAGTATCTCATATACTAAAGGATATTTGGATTCAAGCCCTCCCCTTCTTAGATGATCTAATGCATGACCCTATGATACAATGAACTTAGCCATAAAAACGTTAAACTGTACTAGCTACTTCCAGAGAAGATCAATCTGCACAACTTGTAATGAACGCTGTTAGTAAGCGCCACCTATTCCATTTTCACCATAATGTATCTAACAAAATGCTCAATGTTTGTAAAAAGTTTATCATGACCAAAATCCTCCTATGCTTTATCCAAAGAAGTCAATATCAATGTGATCCTCTGATAACTATTCCATGTTATGGTCCATGTCCGGCCAGCTAGGTGATAGAGAGAAATCAAAGAGAGATGTAAAGAGTTTACCTCAATACTAGAAGGAATTAATGGCCTCTTTCCCTTCAGTTCCCTTGTTAAGAACTCTAGCTTCTTTTCCTCGTCCCACTCACTATACGTGCCTATATCCAGAAATTTAGTGATTGCATCCAAAGCCTCAGCATGTCTACCAGATTCCTGTTACATTGCAGTAACTTCAGTCAGTAACAAACCATAAGAGGGAACTATTTCAACCACTTGTCAATCAAGGCACACCTGTCGTAAGTCTAGCTTGATCAACACCATGCCAAAGGTGGAAACTCTACGTATCAGGTCAGCCAGACGACCATCAGCTAGAAACCCAGACCCGCATGATTGCTGTAAAAGAAATTTTAGTGCACATAAATCTTAACTGTAATCTCGTATTTACTTCTTCCTATACCCCTGATGTGTTTTCACAACTGCGAGTTGCATATTACCAGAGAGTCGTAGCATAAAAGCAGAGGCTCCAACAGTTGATCGGCAGTTTCAAAGTGATCCCACGGATCGGTTTCGCATGGGATATCTTCAAGAAGTAGTTCCAACCGTCTTCTTGTCTTCAGAAGCTGAATCACAGGGAAAGAAAGCATAGATATCTATCTCAGTTAAAGAACATAATAGGATAACGCCATCTATCATGCAATTGTGATACTGATCAAGAACAGACAATGGAATAGACCAAATTTTTTTAATGGAGCACAGGAAAACAGTATATGATATATTAGGTAGTCTCTTCCCTCGAGAATCATACGTGAGTGTTAAGCATAATCACATGGTTCCATTATTGTCTCCATAATTTCCCAAAATGCTAGTTACCTCAGCATCAACTACTAAAATCTTGGACACATGGTTCCATTACCCCCTCACATTACTAGATCTTGAACCCAATCATATCTATAATTTCAAAGTCTTCAATTTGCATGTTCAGCCTTTCTATTAAGTGGCTTTCCATGTTATAGTTGATCCTTCCTTTCCACCAAGGCTTATACAGTAACAAAATGGAACTTTCAACGTTTCATAAAAGGAGTCCTAACTATAGGAATGAACCAGACATGCTGACATATAAACCACAAAAGAAAATTGGAAATTCACTTTACAGCCAGAGCATTCATTACCAAAAATCCAAGAAAATATACCCTAGAAGCTAACAGTAAACCCTGGCAACCATAAAGTAGTACATATCCCTTTTGGCATGCATTGAAACAGCCTCCCTACTTGGCACTTGCTAGCAATACAGTTCGTTTTGCATTTGTATTAACAACCAGAACTATAATCTATGACCTACATGAGAGGATAGGACTTCTGATCTCAATATATGGGGAACATATATTGATGAGTAAGTAGCTGAAATACCTTGTCTTTTACATTACCAAGAACAATCCTGTAAGGAGCAATTGCAGGTTGCACAGGAGTTGGCTCAAGAAGTTTATGGAAGCTCGACCTTCCTATCATAGACTCTGCAAATTTTTTCCTCTGAGCAGTGAGTTGAACAGACGAGAAAGAAGGAACCCTTTGCATCCCAGAAGATGGAGACGCATTGGAAGCAGATGCATTTCCATTCTGTGTGCTGCGATGGCTAGCTGGAGATATTGGGATTGATGGGCCACGATTTCCCTGTAATGAGCAGAACAGTGTATTACTAAATGCTACATTTATAGGAGAAAATTAGTGCCATAGCTGCAAGATTTCAATTACAGAGGACATAGAGCACCTGACGCATGTAATCTGTCCCTGGAAGTTCCAGTTTGGGATATCGAGATCCATCATTGTCGCGATCTACACAGAACAACTGGTTAAAGAAGAATTCGTATAGCAGATTAAAAGGCTTGTTGACTAATCTAGATAACACTTAACTGGTAGCATAATAGCCGCACAAACTTTAAAAAGTAGGTATATCTTAGAAGGTGAATCCGGATTGTCTAAACATGTACGCACAGGACAGAAACATTACAATTGCAGTTAACCAATATTCAAGTTAAGGATTGTCAATTCTTTTTACCAGCACAGGCAGGTAGGTCAGGACTAGCAGGTAGCTGCATTGGAACAGATCGAGACTGTTGGCTACTAAACTTGAGCTGACTTCTGGTTCCTTGACTATCATGCCTGTCCTCCAAAGAATTTTCTGTGATGAACATTTACAATTCAGCATAGCTTACTGACAGGAGTTATAGCAGGACCAAAACACACAAGGTTTAGCATATACCAAACTATATTGGGGTTAAGCTAGCACACACAATATTTACACTAAACCACCTCCAACAAAAGACTACAAGCTCATCCAAGCACCAATTAGATATAAATTACTAGATAACTAAGATTCAAATATCGCATCTATGAAGTTCATTCAGCTATGATATTCCTGCAGAAATACAGTGCTGAAACTACATTCCCTCATGCAGGCATATAGAGTTCTGGCTTATAGTAATCGCTGTACCATTTCATGGTAACAAAACAGGACAATATCCTCATAACTACAATTTGGGCGCAGCTAGTAGTCTGCCTACTGACTCGTCCGCATTTGCACTCAAAACTTATCTCTGTGGGGCTTATGACAGTATTCCAATGCACAAAAAAGATATCTAAAACTAGCACTAGAAAGAGATTGATTAGTATGAATGTAGATTGATTAGTATGAACTGCAACCAGTAACAAAGAACATGACATGATGAGTAAGACATGTTCCATTACATATCTAGGCAGCTCAGGTTTGCAGTTTTCTTGTAGTTGAAACAACTTAAACAATCCAAAAACTCAAACCTGCTTTCAGAATATCCTGTGCCTCTTTCAACAGCCTGTCACTGCACCGAGTCATAGATAGTTCAAATCTGAGACTGTCAACTTCCCGAATATAAAGGTCAATAGCCATCCATCTAGATAATAAAGATACATCTCTTGTGACCTGAAATATTACAAAGATTGATATATATTAGGTCGACCTTAGAAGCTAAGGGCTGGTTTGGTAGGGCCACCCACCTCCAAACCAGATCCATAATGTAGACTCCACGTGTATTTTATATCATTTAACTCCATTCATATCTTGAAGGAATTAAAATTGAAATCAAATGGGGAATTTCAGTTATTCCTGAGTTTAGCCTCTTGCAATCCAGAAACTATATACCTAAAACCAAGAGTGTCCAAACATACCTTAGCTGTCACATTAGGATTTCCATCTCTATCACCTCCCATCCAAGAACCAAATTTTATTGGTGTGGCTGTCAACGGTAGTGGCATTCCTGTGTGCTAAGGAAGAGAGATGAGATATGAAATGAGTTAACAGTAGCAAGGTTTGAGTAACATGCTAATATCAGGGGCAATTAAAGGGAACCTTTTTTAGGGAATTGCTGACTCGACGTAAATAGTGAGGTACAGCTTTCCAAAGGGATTGCTCAACAATATTCAATCCTGAGTATATTTGAAAATAACAGAATTAAGTTCTCTACGAAAAACTGTTGCCCAGAATCAAAGAACACATTTTCTCGTGGCACATTGGCGGTACATCTGCCAAGCCTCTACTGTTGAATTCATGACATATCAACATTCCTTTTCTAGCAGAAAAGAATATAAAATGCTGGAGAAAAAGAAAGAGTCCATGGTTTCCATAAGTCATTAATGGTTTACCAGCCCTGGCCTCATCCACTGGTGTTGGTTTATGACGCCTGAGCTCATCTGTCTGCCAAATTGAGGTGATCTCTCTGACCTGCAAAAAGAAGGGCGAACAACAATCTCTGAGAAAACAAGATAGAACTAGGACTTCGAACTTTAAGTAATTATGCTATTCTTTCCCTGCGAAGAGAAACTTGGAGCACAAAGCAGAGGAAACGTTGACGCTTTCAGAACCATACCAGGTCTTCTATGAGCATTTCTCGATCTTCATGAGTAAGATCAGTTCGATCATTATAATCTAAAAGATGCTGAAAGGAAGGTGAAGTTAGCACGAAGTTACAAACACAAAAAAGTATAGCTATGTATAATCAATCTACTCCAGAGGGGCCAATATACTCACAGAAATTCTGACGTGCTTATACTGCAATGTACGCCGGTTAATTTGAGTAGGATGTGCAGTAAGAACGATTTCTACCTCCTGAAATAATAGTTATATGACAAGATAAGAACAAATCTCTAACCTTGTTAACATGGAACTCCATGCTCCTCTTATGGTCTTTAGATCACCTCCTAGACGCTATTCATGATACTTGGTGTGATCTCTTACTGAGTTCAGTTCAAAACTTGGAGAATGAAGTTTTTACTTGTGGTCTACACTACAAAATGTACCACCATACCTGCTTACAGACGGTGTGATACAGTTGATCTGCAGAAACTCCACTCTGCAAAAGCTGAGTGAACACATCGTCGCAAGATCTGGTTAAGTGAGTAGCACTTCTTAACCGGCGGACCCTGTAGCGAAACAATGTCATCCAGGCCAGTTAATGAGTTCTGAGCACCGATTGACTGGTAACAGGTCAGGCTGTTTAATTAAACAAACCTCATTATTACCTGTGATGTGTCTCGGCGATTCCCATCAGGTTTAGGTAATGGCTAATTGCACGAGCGAGAGTCAGGGCCTCCTCTAATGTCAACTGTGACATCTCCGCAGCGACTTGTTTCTCCAGCATCTCGGCCGAGTCCTCTATCTCCGCCAACCTCATATTACAGGCACTCTGTAACCAGATCGTTGGAGATTTCAATTAGTAAGAAAATTAACAAATAATCAACCTCATTAGCAGATGATTGGTTCCAGATCGAAAAATCGATTAATCACTAATTTTGCCATGTACAGAACAAACATTCTCATGAAATCGTTTTGGCGTACTACTCGTTTCCAGCGTGATGCACATGAAAGGCAGGAGGATCGAAACGGCGCCTAGATGATTAGACGTATAAAATACTCGAAATCGTTTCTTTTCCCCGATCCGATTTTCTCAGCGACCAAACGGTATACCATGCAAAACCAGAAAACTTGAAAAATCAAATGAAACCGAAAGAACAATCAACGACGCTAAACCCGAGAAACGGAATCCTAGTATCCGGAAAGGGAAACCGAATCCATAGACAATCATTCATCGCAGCATGAGTAAGCGACGAAACGAAATCATCAGAAGAAACGAAGAGGCAATAAGAAAAAAACCTGAGCGACGATTCGAATCTTTTCGAGCTTCTTCATGAGCGTGCTGTCAACTTCCCTCTGCAGCACGTCGTTGAACAGATTTCCGAGAAGCTTGCAGTCGTCGTCGAAGCTCTGGAACGACATTTCTTCCGCGATATCGTCCGTGGTGTCCGTCATGGTTACGAAGCAGAAACGAAACGAAAAGAAACAATCAAAACAGAAATAGGAAGATCTCTGCGTTTACAGCAATCAAGAGATCAGAGGAACGACGAACGAAACAAGGAGGAGGAGGATGAGAAGAGAGATTTTCTTCCGATTTTTGTTTCCTTTCTTGCAAGTTTTCTACTGAAAGGGAGAGTGGAAATAAGAGAGTGAGTGGGAGGCGTTGTGTGGAGAGATTGGTTGAACTTGATTGGTTAATGGAGGAGGAGGATGGGGAAGACCGGAAGAGAGAAGAAGGAAGGAGGACGTTTTTGTTTGGGGGAACAAATTTTTCTGTTAGTAAAAGTGGGACCCAGGAGGAGAGCTGATTGCTTTTTACCGTCGGAAAGGCGAGGGGATCCGTGACACGTGGCGGTGAAGACGAGAAAGCTGAGTGGTGTTAATTTAGGCGGAGGGAGTCTCGTGGTAGTAGGAGACCCAACTTTTTATTTTTATTTTTATTTTAGTGAGGCTCTCAGGTAATTCCGGAATTTTTTTATTTTCTTTTGTTGAGTTGGTTTTACTATTCTAACTTTTCCGAGAAAGTTAGGTAATTGCTCAACTTTTTTTTAATTAACAATCGTATCAGGGAGCATCATGTGACTGATCGATTGCCAAATCAACTTGTTTGTGTCAAAGCAAATATAAGAAATAATATTAAGGACGTGGATTTGGCCCATAGAAATACGCCTCTATTATACAAAGACCATTTGCAATTTGTTTTATTATGCGAGAGAAGTGTTGCGATGGTTTTTCAAATTTGTCTCATCTACCTCATTAGTTTTTTTTTTAGAAATCTTACTCGATCGAGATTATATAGTCTTAAATAGCCACTAGTTTAGATTATTTGATCAGTATACAATGATTGTACTCTACCTTGTCAAAATTTTCATGAGTCTGTTGTGTGACTCTACATTAAGTTTTAAAATTTGACCGAATTTAAGATAAATTTCCAACTTAATACCAAATATTCGATGAAGTATTTTTAGTTATTGATGGACACAATATATATTTTTAGGCCAAACATTCTAGATAAATATTCATTTTTGGTTAAGGCTATAGTAAACCAATATTAAAATTTTCATAATATATTGATGTCCACTCATTAAGTAGGATTCATATATCTCATCTTGGCTATGCTTTGATGAATGTTTATAAAGTTTTTTTTATTTTAAAATGGTGGTTTATACAATCTCAATATTAGATCTTATGTAAAGAATTATTATTTTGACTATGCCCTTGTTGGATGTTTATCACATCTTCCTCATTTTTCAAATTATGACTTATGAAGTCCCATGTTAGAACTTAAATTAATGGTCTTATAAAGTAAATAGCAATGGATGTTTTTTTTAATGTATGCATGATGGGCCGACCATCAACTAATGACCCATGTGTTTGGAATAATCCTGCATGCAAATGAACTATCTTATACAACATACCTCCTGCATATGAACGATCATGTCATTTGAACAATAAATCCATAACTCATTTCAATTTACTTGCAATTTAAACTTCATAAATTCATATAAGTATTTTAATATTTTACACGCACTTGAAAAAATCAAATAAAACATATATGAACCAATAATAAATTTTGATCCCTAAAGTAAGAACCTTATACACATTGCTTTATGAAGATATTAATGACCAATGAAATCCTATTCTTGTACTACCGTCTTGTACTTATTTACCGATCTCTTAGATAGATTTATTTTAAACAGCCTTTGAGCTTCTTCTTTTTTGTTTGTTCAAATGTGTTCCTTGTGGTAATCCGTAATTGTACTTATCTATCTATCTATCTATCTATCTATACATAATATTATGGCAATTCAAAATTAAAATTTTGCCACATAAGCACTTGGAGAGATCTCAAGTGGCCAAGGTGGACAACTTTTTTACCAAAAAAATAGTTATTGACCTATTTATGGAGTTGTCCCTCTCTCTTCATTTAATACTTAATTCTCTTTTATCCAATAATTATTTTGTTTTTGCATTATATCTATAAATAATATATGGAGAAAGGTTATCAAACCGGTTTAGCAAGTGGAATGGTTTTACCAGTGGTACAACCGGTTTAATTATTCATATAAAATAAATTTAATCATATATAAACCATATTTGAAGACAATTTACGTACAATTCATATTGATATTTGAATAAAATATGATATTTCAAATAAAATTACATGTACTCATACTTAAATTCACTAAAACTACGTATTATACTTAGAAATTCGTAAAACGATCATATCGGTCATACCGATGATGTCATGTCAATTTCATGACCGGTACCGGTTGAATTGTTCAACCGGTGGCATGCCGGCCGACGTGACAATCATGATGGAGAGTGACATATATCACATTTTGTTTTTGCATTATATTGTTGTACGCAACAGTATACTAATGTATGTAGAGTGACATATATATCACACTTTTTAAACAAAAAAAAATATATGATTAAAGATTACAATGTAAATTTTTGCTCATTTTTACTAAAACTTAATAATAATTTACATTTTTTAATGAATAATGTAAACAAACACGCAAAAATAATAATATTATGTCGATAAGGTCTGAAAGAAACTTGACCAAGAAAATAATAGATATTTATTAAAAATGCTTCTTATTCATTATGATCAAGTGAAAACATATGAATCGCATGTGCAGTATTTATAATGTATCCTAAGTTTACATTACTAATATTTTCTCTAGATCATGTTGATTAAGCAAGCTCTATTGAACTTATTTATTGTTAAAGATTATAAATTGAAGTTTCCAAAATGACTTGAGTATAATAGTTGATGAACTTTGATGTCATATTCTAGGATGAGACACGTGATCCCTTGAAAAATGAAATGTGAGAAATTTAGAGAAATCTTTGTTAAGGATGTACGTTAAACAGCACATTTCATGTTAAGAAAAATCTAAATTCGACGATTGAGGTAATAAATAAATATTAATGTTTTACTTCACATATATAACAAAAAAAAAATTATAGTTACAATAGTGTAAACCGAGCTATTGGGTCAAAAGAAGAATATTTAAAAAATATAAGTTTAGTAAGAAAATTGTAACAAGCCTATATAGTTATGAGCCTGGAATTTCGTACCAAAATTTGGCAATAACAAAAAAAATTGATATGATATTCCACTCAAGGAGTTGAGTTCAAAGGTATTAATTAGTGTTGAAAGTAAAATAAACTCTCTGTATATATATGTTTAGATATTAACAATAGATGTGTCTACAATACATCCAACAATTTAAATACATGTGAAAAGCCACAATGTTTGTATGAAATTTTAAATTTTGCTACAAAATATTTTTAAAAAAAATTATAAGTTAATTATTCAAGGAATACATAATTTTGAATGCACCTGAAATATTTGTCTGTCGTATACACACTTTACCAATTGTTAATATAAGTAACAAAATTTTTGTTCTAGAACAAACATCAAATATAAAGAAATTTTAGCGAATGGACATTCAAATAGTTGAAAAATTATACATTGAAAGAACATGTTAAGATGAGAACCTTCGATAGTGTGTATGAATGCCTTGGATTCAGATTCTAAACGAACATTTATACAAAAGGCATGGGTTGAGGGTTAGTCCAAACTTAAAATATTAGAAATTGATATTTATTGTAAGATAATAATAATTTGTATCTTGATAGAAAAATTGTCATAAGTTGCTATACAAAGACTTCATGAACATCAACAATAAAAATGAGTGAGGTTTAGAGAATTTAATCATTATAAGGGATACGATGTGTGTCAAATTTCAATTGGGATCAACATAATTTAACCAGTAATCAAGTATCTTTTTCCAATATTTTGAACTCTGATTAATTGGCTGAGAGTTCGTACAAACTCGAGAATCATGAATTGATATTTGTTGTATAAGATAATAAATTTGAGCATCTTGGTGGAAAGTTTTTTATATACGAACTTAAATAGGACGTGATAAATCTTTACGACATGATTTATGATCAGAGATTAAAAACATCACAAGCGAGTATGCTAACTATTAAATATTAAGAATTTTCGATATAGGCATACCACATATTCACTTATGAAGCGAGAGCATAAAATGTATACAAGATCCAAAAAATTCAAACATGTAGATAAGTTAACTAATATAAATTATAAAATGAACTTCTCCGGCCAACTGGCCGGGTAAAAAACTAGTATGATTATATAGTAGTCACCTATTACCAATATCCTTGCAAAACTGATTCAATTTCCTAAAGAAATGATATTTCGTTATTTATTTGATTCAAGATAAGTATGACTGAAGCATTTATTTCGTTATCTATTTGATTCAAAATAAGTATGATTGACGCATTTATATATTTAAAAATATATGAGATTCAAAGTTAAATTTTTATAACATCAATCATATTAAAGTTTTATAGACAACAATTTAATTCTTATATTTTTATAATGATATTCTGAACTTTGGATCCCTCTAAACCTTAACCCCTTTATATTAAACTACAACAACCCTTTGAGTTACACTCGCCGTGGGAAAAAGGAAAAAATATAAAGGAGAGCAAATGTAGTTAACGGTTACGGCTAAAACCTAAAAATGGGCGGGGGATAAAATCGCAGGATGGAAAATAACGGGGTCGGGGGCAGTTTTCTTCGCACAATGGTTTTTTTTATATATATAATGAATTGTGTTGGTTTAATGGCTGCTGACCTGGACTCACGAGAGAAGGAGAAATTTGAATTGGAGAAGGGTTTATGGAGAAACTCTATAATATATTCTTTAGATTTAGATTGGGTTATAGGTATAATATTTGAATTGCTATTCGTCGCCCTAAAATTTAAATTTTATCGCCCTAAAACGCAACCAGATGACATATTTGCCCCTCAACCAATTTCATTTTTAAACCCTAACTAGAAGGTGTCGCCTGCTCTACTCATCAGGCCTCCCCTGCTTCGTCGCCTCCCCTGCTAGCCCTCAACCTGAGCA